ACAGGGGCGCCTGAGAGGCTCAGTCAGTTAAGCGTCTGCCTTCAGCTCAGGTCATGGTCCCGGGGTCCTGGGATCGAGCCCCACGTCTGCTCTCTGCTCAGCGGGAAGCCTGCTTCTCCCTCTCCCTCTGCCCCTTCTTCCTCCACGGCTTGTGCTCTCTCCCTTACTTGCCCTCTCTCTCTCTCTCTCTCTCAAGTAAATTAAAAAAAAAAAAGTCTAAGAGCATTCAGCAGAGGCTGTTTGAAGGTCTCCTCTAGGACAAAGCCATTGGGAGAGAAGCAGTCCCCGAGATGGGCAGTCTGGAAGTGTGGGGTACCTCTGGTGGTCCTCTCCACTGGCCCCATAGTGCCATACCACAGAGAGGACCCCCCCCCCGCCACGTGCACTGAGAGTGACTTCATGCCAATGAGCCTTGATGACAGTGCTGAGTTCCCAAAGACATGCAAGATCTTCTTCACATGCTTGCAACTGCCTTTCTTGGCAACTCCAGTGACATTTCCTCTCTAAATATTCTGGCCTCCTCTACCCAAGCTTCCAAAACTACTCTTGGCCCGTCCATAGATCACCTTCCTTGTTCTCTTTCATTCACAGCCTTGAGCTGCCATGGAAGGGGGCCAGCTGCCAAGCTGAACTGGACAAAGTTTTCTCCAGCAACACTCACTTTGTGGTGACTCATTTACTTGTGCCCATAGAATGCCCTGGACAGAAGCTCCTCTCTCCTCTCTGTTTACTGCCGTGTTTGTGAGCACTTTGAGTTTTAAGTCACTGGACATCTGCCCCCTTTATTTGCTCGCCTTCACATCACGGCTCCTGCAGTATCAGCTGGGTGGCCTTCCTGAAAGCCAGAACATTCCTCGTGTTCCCGGATCCTCACCAGCCTGGCTTTTGCCCCCTGCACTCCACAGGACTCATAATGAACAAGGTCCCTGAGAACCTTGGGGCCAGCAAACGAGAAGGCCTTTCTCCACACCGTAGTTGTTAGCTTGGCGCTGGCAGGGCCACGTCTGGATTAAGAAGGTGTCAGCAGGCAGGAAGAAAACTAGAGGAAGAGGCGAACAGTGGTCTGTTTCTCAACCCTGCTTTCCAGGACCACCTCTTAAATTTCACCATACTCTTCAATCTCTTCATCAAAGTGGTCCCTCTGATTTTCTTCTCTGTCCTTTATACCTTTCCCTTTATATTAGAGCCTGGACTAAGCCACCCATGACCAGAGATTCATTCACCTCCATCGATCACCCACTATGTACTTTGTAGTAGACCTCCATATTTTTCCTCTCTGGCCTTTACTTACGTTCCGGTGTTAACATAACCAAGACATATAACCTCTTAGAAGCCTGCCTATGCCAATGTTTTCTTCACACTGGAAATATCCTTTTTCCCTGAGGATGTCCATGCATTCCAGGGAGCAGGAAGCAAAAACAGCATGAAATAACTTGTGGGAGGAATTGGCCAGTGATGGTCTCTGATTCCTGACCATCAATCAATAGAACTGTGGTCACTGTCCAACCTTCAAAATCCTATTTCAGTTTGATTATGAGTTTTGGACCTGCTGAGATGACTACAACTAGCTCCTAGAGCAGGTTAATTTGACTATCTTGGAAGTCAAACCAAACACTGAGGGTCAAATGAGATTACTTGTCCCCAGTGCTTGGAAAATCATCAGTGGCCCAGCACTTGAGAACGTTCATGAAAGGGCAGGGGTGAACTCCCTGAGAGCAAGGACTCGGTTGCACTTATCTTTGTGTTCCTAAGGATGCGGAGCCTCACACAGAGAAGGTACCCCCTCTGGTAGAGACTTTTCTTCCTGGGATCAGGATTTTGCAAACAGACATAAGTGCCAAGAGGGTTCTATTTCAACTAGAGTAAGATGGAAAAACACCAAATAGAATTTGGATGAAGCAAAGGAGAAGCAGGCGAAGGGGGGAGAAAAGAGGAGCAATTATGTATATTTAGTTGATGCTTATTGGCAGCAGTTATGTTCTGTGAAGTCAACGTGAACGCTGAATCAACACATACTGAACCATTGTTCCTAGGGTTAGCCTCCAGCAAGCCTCTGGTCACAACATTTTCATCAATCAATCAATACATCACCTTGTTTCATGTGTGCTTTCTATTTAAAGACACCTTACTTATTGTTGATTCATTAACACTGAACTCGGCCAACAGCACTATAGCTCATGTCTGAGCGAAGCTTCTTGAACACAGGTTTTCTCTATAAGGTACGTCGAAGCATTCTTGTGCTTAGGACCTCTTAACAGCACTTTGGCACTACACTTAGGGCCATCTTAAACAGTGAGATCACCGTCGGAAAGCCCAAAACCGCAAAAACCGTGGCACTAGACAGCCCACCAAAAGGACACTTTTTTGGTAGCATGAGAGCTGAAACAAGAAGGCAGAGCATCACCTTGTTCCTCCGTGGCTGGGAACGTGTGCCTCAGGGGACTTGAATTTTTCACCACTCTGAGCACATCCAGAAATGACCACAAAATTGCTGGGAGTACTGATGTGGGGATTACAAGGAAATTTTAACAGGTGGACAAGTTTGCAAAGACAGAATCCACGAATAATGAAGATCAACCATCGGGGTGCGTGCGTGTGTTTATCAAATAAAATCAAGACAAACAATAAGAGATGTTGGCTCTTCAGGAAGCACCGCTGGCCCTGTCATCAAGGCAGGGATGGTAAAGATACAAGGTAGACAAAGACAGAGTAACATGACAAAAGCAGCACGCTGCCCGTAATGCCAGTACTTCGTGCAGGGGTTGCTGGAGGGAGGGGCCACGGGTGGGTGACGGCAGCACAATGTGCCCATGGGCATCAGAGCCACACTGTGGTGACGTGGGTGTGCAAACATGCCATCCTTGTCCATTTGGCCAGTTCCCACACCTGGCCCTGGGCGGGAGGGAACCTGTCCTCCCTCCACCTAGATCCTAACATGGTCTCATCTCAAGAATTTGGAGACTAGTAGTGAATCTGAGGGCAGGATGCACTGGTGCACGGGGTTGGATCCACTCTAGTGACCTTCAATCTGTCATAACCCCATGAGCAGCCGCCGAAGAGTCCCATCTCTCAGAGCTGAGCCCTGGGGATAGATGCCTTAGAAAGAGTGGATTGGGGGTAGGGTTCTATGGATTAACCAAAGAGCCCCAAGAGCTGTTGGAGATCTTTGGATTGCAGATTAGTGACAGACAACCTTGGGTGAGAGCTCGCATATTGCCAGCTCTTAGCCCAGTGCCTTGGTCATAGATGTTCATTAAAATCTGGGGAGTGAGTGTGTGAAAGAAAAAAACAAAAGGACGGTGGATGGCTGGAGAGACTTGTGTTTGTTTTATTAGGACAGTGTTCCATTAAGGACCTAAGTATTGACCCATCAGTCTCAAAAATAGCATATTGTACTTTGTCTTTTTTTTAAAAAAGATTTATTATTAACTGAGAGAGAGAGAGAGAGGAGGGGCAGGGGGAGGAGGGACCAACTGCGCCACCCAGGAGCAACTATACTTTATGTCTTTTAAAGCGCTTTTATACATGTCATCTCATCAACCCTCAGATTAACGCTATATACGAAAGGGGTCACATATTAAACTCACGCGCTTAGTTGAGGTAACCGAAACAGAGAAGTCAGAAGATTTGAGCCAGGACATACAATGGCGCAGCCAGCTCGATAGCCCACGCATTTCTGCCTGCTCTTATGATAGGAAGCAGCCCCGATGGGTGCTCCCACCATCCTTCGCCACTGGCAGGAAAGGGTCCAGGTGGCACCTGGGTTCTGGAAGGCCCACCCTGCAGGAAGTGCAGAGGAATGAGAGACGTGGCAACAGGATCTGGAGCCAGCGATGCTGCCCGTCTGGTTCCCCAAGCTGGGGAGCAGGCTGCCAGGAAGCCAAGCGGGCAACCCGCGCCAGGCCAAACAGTCAATTAGCACCCACAGAAACCCCGCTGCCCAGTGATTGCTCAAGGCAATGAAACTCCAGGCCTGCTGGTTCCTGGGACAGAGGGTAGGTGAGTTGGGAGCTGTGTTCACAACGGCCCACGGTCCTTGAGTTGGAGGTGGGGGACAGGTACCGTTCAAGTCCCAGGCTCTGATTCACTCTGCCCTCGAAGCCACTGGGTGAGCCCTTCAGTTCAGAGAACGAGGCCGACCTCTGCATCCCTGTTCTGGACTTGATTCACTCTTTTCTCTCTTGATGGCCAAAGGCCCCATTCTCTTTATTCACCTCCAGTTAAGACTACTATACAGAAGCTCTTTCTCTGATGGGTTCTTCCAGGCTTTTCTCCCTCTTACTGTCTCTCCTACATATGCCAAATACACATTTCTCCTGGTTCCCAGATCTATATTGTAATGCATCACTTTCCCATCCTCCCGTCCTGGCTTTTGATGGGAACACCCTTCGTCCAGCCTTTCCAGTACTTTCCCCATACTGTTGGCACTTGTGACACTGGGCTCACTGGAGGAGAGAAGAGGCAGCCGGTAGAGAAACTGGCCCTGACTGATCAGAAGTGCTGGCACATTGCTGACATTGCTCGAGCTTTCCACCCTGGGACAGCGAGCCACGGGTGAAGACACAGGCACAGACCAAGAATGGAGATCCAGCCCGGGTGCAGTTCCCCTTGTTCCAAGGAATGGTTTGATTTGGATTAGAGGACGAGCTCTGAGGCTTCTGGGGCTTCCCCAAGGACATGCCTGTGATCATCAGTCTGTTAGGAGGTTCACTCCAGAAGGACAGACACACAGGTTAGGGCCGTGGGTCAAAGGGGTTGTGGAAAGATGGGGACCTAGATAACAGTCTCAGGAAAACCATTTCTGAGAGGGGCAGAGGACAGAGCTGGAGCTGAGGGGAGGGGAGGAAGGAGATACCCTCCCCAAGACCCCGTCACTCCCAATGGCTGTAAGAGCTAGCATGTTCCATGGGCATGGGAAGGAAGGAGACATGGAAGATGTGGGGGGTTCTCTTCATGGGCAAGAAGGGCTCTCCGTCCCCTTGCCCTTGGGGAGGACTCACCTGAAGAAGCCTTTGCAGCCTTCACAGGTCATAGCGTTGAAGTGAAAGCCTGTGGCTCGGTCTCCGCACACCCCACAGATTCGGGGCACATTCCGGTCAAAGTCGCCAGGGTCAGGCAAGGAAGTGCCAGTTGCCATTGCCTCCATCCCTGCAAGAACAGCAAGGAGGCCAAGGCCAGAGCTGGGGTCAGTGCCAAGGCTGGCTAGCATCCTTTGCTCGCCCACCCCCATCTGGCGCAAGCTCAGCGAGGCCAGGCAGCTCCCCAGGTCCCAGGCTGGAGCAGGACTTCTTGGGCGCCCTCACCTCGTGACTCTCCATGCGGCAGCTTCCCCTTCTGACTCTCTGGGGAGCAGAAGCAGGGCTCCCTTCCCCACGTCGGGAGTGATCTGCAGGGGCACGAAGCGGCGAATCCGCTCACAGCCGGGTCTGGGTTCAAAGGCCACACCTGCCGCCCACTAGGCGGGCTCGTTTGGGTGACGGGTTTAGCCTGTCTGTGCCCTACCACCCTCCCCTGAAAAATGGCGTTTTCTTTCCAGGGTGTGAGGAAGGATGGCCTGAGTGAACATTCGCCTACTGCCGGCATCGGCTCATCTCGGTAGCAGACCTGCAGCAAGTCAGAGGCCTCTATTCTGCCCAGTGCCCCCTCCATGAGAAAAGGGGAGCACCCCCCCCCAGCCTCACAGGCAGACAGAAGCCCTCAGCCACTCTTCCCAGAGGGTGAGGGGAATGGAGTAAATCCATCACATGCCCAAATCAGGCCCTGTTATTTCCCTCCCTGCCCCCCCCAGCCTCACAGGCAGACAGAAGCCCTCAGCCCATTCTTCCCAGAGGGTGAGGGGAACGGAGTAAATCCATCACATGCCCAAATCAGGCCCTGTTATTTCCCTCCCTGCCCCCCCGCCACACAGCTCAGCACTGACAGGCCTGTGCCCCCGCCGTCCTGGCACCAATGTAATCAAAATCCTGTTCCCTCTTCTTTTTTTTCCCAGGATAAATTTTACCCCTTGATTTGAACATCCTTCTGAATGAGGTGAGTCATAGACAATTAACTAATTTTGTTTTCCGAGATGGCTTTTATAAATAGGCATTATCATCTCGAGATGGATTTCACACTTGAGGAGAGCGGAAAGACGGAGGGAACAAAACTAATAGCTTTTGGAAACCCTTCTCAGGAAGCAGCTGACTTGACTCTTCCATTAGGCATATTGAGCCCTCGGCTTCACGCTGTCAGGCTCAGAGCTCCTCAGGTCTCCCCAAAATGCTTCAGACCCTGCTACCTCCCACCTTTATCTGGGTCCACGCAAGGGCCACTGCAGGCTTAAGTGGCCCCTAGGCCCCAGGGCAGGAGGGGCCCTCAGGGCAGAAGAAACATAAGAGAGAAAGCTAGTCATGAACCAGTGCCATGTTCTCCTACCCGCAGGTGAGTGGGATGGATTCTGGGGGGCCCTAGGGAGGCTCTGAGCTTCTTTCCAATGCAGTCTCTGAGCTAAAGTTTGGCATATCAAAGCCCCTTCGAGTCTTATCCCATTTACTCTTTTTATCACCCCATGAGATAAATGTTCTTACTCTCACTCTCTTTACAAATGAAGCCCAGAGAAGCCCAAAGCTTGAGGTATCTCTAGCAACTATGATTACAACATGCCCAAAGCAGATACTAATTTTCTTTTTAATTCCACAAAGAGCTTCAAGCCCAAGGAAGAAAGTGGGACAGACAAGGATAGGGACGGAGGGGGCCCTGATCGCTGGCGGCTGTAGACTCCCTAACTGTCTCAGCTTTTCTTTTCCTGGGAACCGTAATGTAATGTAATAATAGTGGCACTATGGTCCATCCTTATCACGGCTAGATCAATACTTGTTAAACTGAAATGTTTATATATACACACATGCAGAGAGAAAATGAGACAGAGAGACTTAAAAAAAAAAGAACAAAGGAATGATTAACAGAAACCTTGAAGGAATTGAGATTGGGGACAGGTTTATGTAGTAACTACACTCTATTTCTTCGAGGGGTAGGTATATGGTATCTTATTACTTTTATTATTATTATTAAAACACGACTGTATGTTTTATATGCCTGTCTGTGTATATAAGACATTGCACAATTTTTAAACAATTAAAAATAGAAGAAAAAGCGCCTGTGGGTTTGTCAACATCATTCCGGTAGCCCATCCCAAGTCCAAGCTGACTCCCCCTGGGAGGCACACATCCAAGTCACGGGCAGGGATCCTAGAGGCCCAATACCATCGTGGGGCAATAGGAGAAACTGTCTAGGATGCTTGTGGCTTAGCCCCAGGTCAGCCGAGATGTTGCAACTCTCAGTCATCATGATGTTGCTACAGAGTCTGTGTCATCCAGGCGACCAACCATCTGGTGGATTTGGTGGAAAAAAGAGAAATCAAATGTGGGCGTGGGGGGGTGGCAGGGGGAATACCAGTCAAATCGGTCCAACAAGTGTGCACCATCACACGGGCTCACTGGGGATGTCATGATGCAGGACAGTTGGAAGAACAGGATACCCCAGCATGGCAACAGTGCCTTCCTGCAACTGCGTGAGCTGTTACCTTGACATTGGGAAGGCTGCTGGCCAGGGGGTGGGGGCCCGGGCCCTGGTCAGGCCAGAGAGAAGGCTGGACCCAGCAGCCAGAGGCCCACAAAAAAACAGGACCATTTCAGGGGAGCCGAGAGAAAACTCAGCTCTGTTTGGGGTTATTTGTTGCTACCAAGGAGCCAGGGCCCAGGACCAGAGTCCAGAGGTGGAAAAGAGGCCCAGGCATATACGGCCTGAGAGCTGGCAGTCGCAGGAATGGCAGGCAGCGACTGTGCAAGGTGGGAAGGATAAAGAGGAGACTAGAGCTGGGTAGGAAACATAACCATGCTGGACAGTCCCCTGGGGCCCCGGCCTGGGAGTCAGCAAGCCACCCCCTTCTGAGCCCCCACCCGGCCTCTAGCTGGCTCTGGGTCTCAGGAGTGGGCTGCTGTGGGTTCTGCTGACACAGGACCTGCCCCGCATATGCAAAGCCCAGGGTAGTATTCTCTTCCTTCCCTTGGCCCCCTCCTTCCTATGGCCCGCACGTGCCCCTGGAAGACAGAAGGCCAGGGAGGCTGGGGCTGATGAGTTAAACACCCACCTGAAGGAGCAGGGGGGCAGGTAAGTTGAGCCCAGGGATGCGCTTCTGTGAGGTTACAGACGCAGCCAACCAAAAGGACCCTGCAATGACAAAGGGGAAAGACTTTATCTACAGCTCACACTGACCATAGCCAGTCCTCTAGCAAGCCCAATATGCAGTAGGTGAGATTCTTTCCAGAGACTTTAGTCTCCAAATCAGGGACTGAAAATGTGACAGAGTGATTTGTTGGGCACAGGCGTGCCATGTCATCACTGGCAGGGGTGAGGGGGTGGGAGATAGGCAGCAGCCAGGACGGGCCCTCCCTTGAGGCGGGGACTAGCGAGAAGCAGTGGGGAAGGGGTAGGGGGGCAGCAATCAGCATGTGGTCCCTGCTGTAAGTTCTCCTGTTTCTTTCACAGCAGAGGGTGTCGGGAGGGAGGAAAGGCTTTCCTTTTTTTAAAGATATTTATTTATCTATTTATTTATTTATTCGAGACACAGAGAGAAAGAGAGAGTGAGCACGAACAGAGGGGGAGGGGCAGAGTGGGGAGTCCGATGTGGACTCGATCCCAGGACCCTGGGATCATGACCTGAGCCGGAGGCAGACGGACACTTAACCGACTGAGCCACCCAGGCGCCCAGGAAGGGCTTTTTTCTAAGGGAGCTCTGCTGCTCCCACGGCCCCCACCCCCAGATTTGAGGGATGCTCAGTGGGGAGCAGAGCCAGAGGGTGGCCTGGCACGCTGCTGATGGCAGGGAAAAGACCCCACCCCGGGTAGTACTGCCGAGACACCTCAGTGGGGCTGGGAATGGTGCAGGCGGAGACTGCAGGCCGGGGCCTGGCCTCTTGGGACGCCTGAAAGACAGGTGTTTGGGATGCCTGTCTGCAGACTGGGTGTGGCTGGAACAAGTACAGCAGGGGTTAAATACAGCAATTCACTGCTTTCAGACAGGATGTTTTCTGCCACTTTTAGCTCTTCCTGAGGCACGCTCCACATCCCCGGCCTCAGCAAAGGCTGAAGGTGGGCCAACTCTGGTGCCCAGAGTCTATGTGTTAGTGGCATGCTGGGTCATCAAGGTGGGGCTGGCAGAATTTCACCCTTCCCACTTCTACCCACACCCAGCCCTGCTTGTCTACCCATAGAGACAGACAGACCACACACACACGCACATGCACACACACACTTCCTTCCCTGATGCCAACAGGAGGTGCCTGACCCCGAACCCTGGCAAAGGCCTGTAAGCCAATCCCCAGATGGGGAAGGTCCAGACCCCCAGCTTTTGTTTCTCTGCCTCCCAGAGGCCCAACTAGGCAGGGAAGGGAAGAGCCCAGGGGAATTCCAAGACATGGGCCCTAGGACTGTCAGCCCACTGAACGCATTTACTATCCCCTTGGGCACTGGCAGCTCCCAATAAACATCCGAGGAAAACGCTGATGGACAATGAGCAGAAATAACCTGAGCCAGGCTGGCCTGCTCCCAAGGGCCGTGGGTGGGAGGAGGCATACCTGCTGGGGACAGACATGTTGTCACTTACCCCCAAGCCAGGCTCTCCTTCACTCCCCCTGCTTGTAGTGCCCAAGGCCCCCAGCTGACCACACTCTTCTGGACTCTACCCCATGGCCTTATCAATTTCCCGGACTTCCCGTGTGCTCCTCAGAGGCTGAGGTGAGGACTGAGTCGGTACAGAAAGGACCACTGCCTTCCTGTCTTCAACCCCTAAGGTTTTCAAAAGTCAGACTTGAGATCCAGGTAGACTACCACCCTTGAGCTTAAAAAAAGAGTGTGTGGAGTATCTACCATGTGCCAACCTGTCAGGCTCTATATGTACCATCTGCATAAGCATCATAACAGTCCTGGGAGCTGGGGAGCTGTCCCATTTGACAGATGGCAAAGCCGAAGTCCAGAGCACTTTCAGTGACTTGCCCAGGGTGCCATGGCCAGCCAAGTGGTGGGGCCAGGGCCAAACAAAGACAAGCTGAGTGCAAGGCCCAGATGCTTCCCCTGCTCCTGCTGACCCCTCCCATTCCAGCGACAATCAGCGGAGACACCATACTCTCTACTGAGCCCTGCTCCAAGTTCTCCAACATGCTCACTCATTCAAGCCTCACAACCTCAACGGGCGGGCCCTGGTATGATCCCTATTCTAGCCATGGGAAAACTAAGGTGCAGAGAAGTCGATTGTCTTCGGAGCCCAAAGCTGAGCCTTGACTCCCCATTCCATTGCCTTTCCTAAGGGAAAGAGCTCAGTCATCACCCCAGCCCGAAGTCCTGCATGCCCATCACTTCCACTAAGTCAGGGAGCAATGAAGAGAACAATCCCTGGGTCGTGATGGAAGGACGTCATGGCACTTTTGCTTCCACAGCTCTCGAAGTCAGGGGATAGCAGGCAGCGGCCCCTCTTACCGGGAAAACCCCATTCGACAGATGGGCCTCTCCTCACCAGGCAACTGTGCACTACTGGATGGTCCTTTTAGGAGAAGGTAACCTAGATTTAGCCTGAAGTTCAAGTGCATGGAAAGTGGGGCAAAGACACAGGGTAGAAAAAGGACTAGTGGAAAAAAAGCGCTTCATACCACCCCCCTTTGCCACATCATACAACCCCCAGGCCTCCCCGCAATTCATGTTCTGAGTACATAGAACATCCCATTGCTTCGGCTGGGACTGTCCCCAGAGCAACCCCCTCCTGCTCTGCTGTAGAAATACCCAAACCCCTGGCACTGAGCCTCAGAGAAACTGGGTGGGGAGCTCAATTCTGCAGAAAGCCCCTGGCTTCCATTCCTCCAGGGACTGCATCCCACATCAAAACCCCTGCCTGAGCCTGACCCAGTCCTGACCCTGCCTTAGCAAGAAGTGAGGAGATAACGTGTTTCCTTCCAGTCATTGAAGCCACAACCACTGCCCCTCCTACATGTCTGCCTGTCAGCTCACACCACCTGCACCTCATCTTCCAGGGCTTCTGCTAAATGGGCATTCCCTGGGGCAGGCTCGCCTAGAACAGTCTCGTGGGGGTGGTGGCTGCAGAGTGTGCTGGGCAGAGCCTGGGGAAACCAGGACCAAAGTGCCACTGGGCTCGGTGTAACCCCACCACATTCCCTGAGCCGTCCTGGGAGTCCCGAGGGCGGTAAAGCTATGGCCCCGGAGTATCCGCTAAGCGGTGGACGAGAGGTCTGACCTCTAAGATCTTTTCCAGATCTGAGAGTGTGCAACTCCAAGGCTGGATTTCCCATCGTGATGAGGCCTTAAGACCATTCACTGAGCTTTCTCTCAGACCTCCTCAGGAACCCGTTTGAGCCCCAGTACCGTGCTAGCGCAAGTGAAGTTCACTCACCCGCAGAAGCCAGGGACCAGGAAGGGCATGAGGGGTGTGGCCCCTCACGGGCCCATGGAGAAGGGGAGCCCGGGAGGGGGTGGGCCTTGCTTGCCGGGCTGGGACTGAGGGCTCAAAACTGAGCTTTCTAATTGTTGACATTGGCTCAGAGCTCCCCCTCCTTCTAGAAAGAAATGGAAAGCTAAGTGATTTCCCAGAAGAGGGAGAGAAAATTCTTCTTCCTGAAATTGGCACACACAGAATGAACCACAAGTGGGGCTCTCTCTGGAGTAGATGGGTCAGTGCGTACACCCGCCACGCTATACACGAGCTTGTGTGTGCTCACCCTTTTCTTGGTGTTTTTCACTTCATCATTCTTCCAACTCTGTCCACAGGGTGCTGAATGCTATAGGACATACCTCACTTTTGGCCATCTCTTTATTCTAGCGTAACTTAGGCACAGCAATGTCATGGCCAGCTAAGGTGAGGCCTTTTCTCCCTTCCCACCATCCCCAATATATGTCCACATTCTTTTTCCGGAACAGTCTCAGCATTACCTCCCAGAAGAAGCTGAGGGAGAACAGAGCGGAAAAGAGGGAAAGGGGAGAGGAAGGTACACCGTATGAACAGAATTTGTCGAAACTATTTCTTGCCTCATTGTCTCCCCACCCCTACACACAGGTGTGTGCGCACACACACACGCACTCACATGCATGCACACACACACACACACATTTTAAATTACAGTGAGGGGGCGCCTGGGTGGCTCAGTCGTTAAGTGTCTGCCTTCAGCTCAGGTCATGATCCCAGGGTCCTGGGATTGAGCCCCACATCGAGCTCCCTGCTCCACGGGAAGCCTGCTTCTCCCTCTCCCACTCCCCCTGCTTGTGTTCTCTCTCTGGCTGTCTCTCTCTGTCAAATAAATAAATAAAATCTTTAAAAATAAATAAATAAATAAATAAATTACAGTGAGAATGGTTGGAAATTATTTTCTGCAGACTATAATGTCCAAAGTAAAACCCAAGAGATATCGGTCACCTCAGACCTCTCAAGATGGGAAGGAAAACCTAGTCCAACCATCTTAAATCCCCTCTGTAATATTCTAACTTGTACATGAATATTTTTCCTGATGGAGAACTACCTCCCATGGCAATCTACTTTCTTTGGATGGCTGTATGCTTAGAAAGTTCTTCATTATGCACAGATGGAATAGTCCCTGTAGCTTTCAATCACTGGCCCTAGACCAACTCTTTACAGCCATCTAAGGTGGAAATAAGATGAAGCTACGAGGCCATTCCCACAGAGTTTTTGGAAGAAGGGTTGGTGGGACCACCATGTGGCATCATTGTGCAAATTAAACAAGGGCCCGTTCCTCATCTGCTAGAAAACTATCGTAAAAAGTAGAAAATTTTAGAGTATTCACGGTGTACGTGAGGTTGCAGGGGAGAAGAAGAGAAGATAATGGGGCCACATTTAATTTTGGCTTAGACCTCGTAAACTTCCAGGTATGACCATGATTCCCACAAGGGCAGTAAATAAGGGCAGGGGAGTGCAGTGTCTTCCTCCGTGGCCTTCGCCTAGAGAGAACAATTTCCAGTCCAAGAAAAGGGCTCTGTAGGAGAGTGTGAGTAGCTGCATGAGCTCCCCCAAGCCTGCCTGTCTCCTCTCTTTGGCTCAGCTGTGTCCAGGGGAGGCTGGCCCTCAGCACTGCAGCACTAAGAACACAGGCAAGACATCCCAAACTATTTAACGACGGACT